AAGATCTGCATGGGGACGGGGGCGGGAATATTTTGTCCAAGAACCAAATTCTTTGAGCCTATGTAAATGTTTTCGAGCGTGTTTTAGTACGGTGTTTTCGAGCGTGCACGCCATTGAATTGTGCGTGCAATTCAGCCTTGAGAGCGGATATCGGGGACAGGACATAGTGGTTGTGTCATTCATCGGAGCGCTGAATTCCTTTTCAGTATTCTCCGTGGAAGTATGCGCTTGTCTTGAAAAACTCATTGAGTAGGGGACTAACACACCTCTCTTAGGGCCGGAGCCCTTCTGCATTCAGAACGTTAGAGAAATTTTCCGGGGCTGCGGCAGAAGTATCTGGGAGATTATGACCAGAAGCGTTTTAAGAAAATACTACAAATCGGCAAGAATCACCTGAGAATCCTCACCCGGCTCTTGTCGGGTCACTGAAGACTCAGGGGGCACCTCAGCTGACTTCACCTGGAAAGTGAAGATGCCTACAGGTTCTGTGAAGAAGATAGGAAGCCTTCAGCACACGTTCTGGGGGGTGCGTTGCTCTCGCTCGCACGAGAAGCTAAATACTGGGGAACTTTACCAAAACGGCGGCGGAGTTTCGGTCTTCCCATGTTTACAATCTTCAATCTACAACCTACAATTATAATATACATAGATTTCGGTGGTTAAATTTTGTGAAAACTTATTTTATCACTAAAAATTCATTTTGATATTTAAAATTAAAACAGATAAGCTACTATTGCTAAGTCTTAAACTAATAATACGTATTTCAAAAAATTTAGAGATGAACTTTAATTTTCAAATTATTGTATGCATTTACTACATATTTATAGTAATACTTTATTTTGAAATATTTTATATAATGGAACTTTTAGAAATAATAACAATAAAGAAAAATGTTTTAAATAAAAAACTAAGCTTTTATCAATTTTTTCTCATTTAAGTTCAGCTAACGATTTCTGCCCGACATGTAGTATTTTAAAGATTCACTTTGCAATATCAAGTACTACACTCTATGGAAAAGACGTTATATACACGTGGTACGAAATCATGGGTAAGAACTAAAATCGATTAATAACGTTATTTTTGTAAATAAAAATATGTATTTTTAGGAAACTTTGGTGGGCTTTTAGGAATTTGTCTTGGATGTTCGATTATTAGTATAATAGAAATGATATATTTCTTTATTGTAAAGTTTTTTTATCACATAGGGTTAATGAAAATAAGTAACAAGCAACATGACACAAAAATGTAAAACAAAGCTCACTTTTAACAAATTATTCAAAGTGAATTTATGAAAAAAACCTCATATTGTTTAAATATTGGGTAACAATAAATAAATAGCTTTCATACACATTAAGAACAATTTTTAAAAATAAAATATATTTTTATTGTAAAATTATTAAAATTTTAATAGATTTTTTCTTAGTATAATAATTTTTAAATTCTTGTGCAACACTTTTAAATTAATATATAATTTAATGACAAATACTGTCTGTAATTTAAGTAATTAATCAATAATCCATCTCGAATTTTTTTAAATCAAAGTCGCTTTTAATTTTATTAATTATTAATTTTAATAATTGATATGCAGGTATGTTATAATATGTGAAAATAGCCATTTTCTAATTTTGTTTTAAATTGATTAAAAGTATATTCTCTACAAACTTGTTTTTCTTATTGGAATTTTTGAAGAAAACGATAAAAAGCAGTCAAATGTGGCTCTTTAAAACTTCACGTGAGCAAAACTAGAACACATAATGCTGTTTATCAGCAAACCACATTGACCTCCTAGCTCAAATAATAACATTATGCATGATATTTCGTGAAAAAAAAATTAAAGTTCATGAAGAAAAATTTCTGTGACTTCTTTCGGCAAAAAAGAAATAATACTATAGCAGATTCTTCTTTGCTTTTTAGCACTTTTCCAAAAAATTTTTGAGAAAAAGTGCTTGTTAGTTTCACTTCCGTCCGTGAGTCCGTGTGCCTGTTTGCAAAACTTCTAAAACTTTCAAAATACAAAACTGAAATTTTATACGTACATAGATCTTCATTAGAAACTTACTTTCGTAGAAAAAAATTTATAAATATCTTATTTTTAACTATAAACTTTAACCTTAAAGTGGCATTTTTTAATTATTTATTGCGTTGAAACTATAAGCACTTTTCAAATCTTACAAACACTGAAAAGCAGTGGGTTGCTCCTTCTAATGCAGCATACCATATTTGAACTCAAAAAAAAAACAAGTTTTCCTGTTATCTAAAGTCCATTTTTTTTTAATTTTTGATATCAGTTTTCTTCTAGACCTCAGGTTGTAAGCCTAAAATTTTAGCTAATAAATAATTCATTTCGTTCGAAGAAATTTCCAGCGCCTCTGAAGTTAGGGCCTCTTGAAATTTGCAAAATTTGAATCTTTGGCGTTTTTCAAATTTCTATAAATCTTTCTTCATTTATTTAACGGTAAATGCCATTCCATTAAAAACTATAATAATTTTTCTTAACTAACTCAATTAGTCATTAAAATCGAGCACTATATTAATGCCTCTTTAAACTTTTTTTTGCTTTATTTCGAAGATTGAGTACATTGCTCATCCTGAAGCTATGAAGTTTTTTGAATGTATTCGTATGTGAATGAAAGCAATTTTCATATTGCAGTATATATAATCTTGCAATGCAAGATTGTTTTCAAAAGCACTATTTTCAATTGTTGAAAGGAAAATGCTACATTACAAACCAAACGACTATTCTTTTAGTACAAATATTTTTTTAAATTTTTTAATTGCTCTTTTCATAATCATACTTTTTTTCTGCGCGCATTGTTTATAAAATAAGGTAGGTTATGTGATGGAAACAAATTTTGCATATTGAGGTTGCGGTGAGAACGCACTTCACAATTTTTTAAAAAAATATTAAAAAATAATTTAAAACTTTTTTGTAGTCTGGTGTTACACAAATAAAACAACTTTCTTTTGACTTTTCACCAACGTTTCGATTTAATTTGAAATCTTCATCAGGGCTAACATAATAATTTTATATGATAATAATGTTTTTACAATATGTCCTACATTTCTTATATGTATACTTACATTAAGTTATTGAACACATTTTAATTTAATTTTAACATAATTTAGTAACTCGATAGCTCTAATAAATAAATTTAATAAAATTTTTAAAATCGTCAGTTATTCCTTTTTAATAAACAACATATAAATAAATAAATAAAATAAATTAACACAAATTATAAATGTGTTAATATAATATAATTATAACAAACAAAACTAGACTCTTACATAACTTAAACTATAATAAAAATAAAAAATCACGAATCAGCTGTTTGTTGTTCTCATCTATTGTTTACTCTATTGGGGTTACCGCTTGTTTTAATTTTTTGAAATTTCATAATTACAGATTTATAAAATAAATTTAAGTTATTTGTATCTGTTTTGTAATTAATATTGTTTTTGTTAATTTATATGTGTATCATTTCACTTATATTCCTCTTATACCAATTTTTCTCCCCGTCTTCCATTTGTGTTTCCTTGAAATTAAAAGTGTGATTCTGGTTAAAATGATGTTGTGCTACTGCTGTTCTTTCTGTTTTATTAATGTTTTGTGTTTAACAATCATATTTATGTTGATTTAGTCTGTTTTTTAGATATTGTGTTGTTTGTCCTATATAGCACGCTTCAAACTCTTGGCAATTTACTTTATATATTAAGTGTGATTGATTCATTTTGTCTTCTTTATCTTTAAGTTTTGTGTAAAGTGTGTGTACTACGTTTTTGTTATAGAAATTGATTTTGTTGTTTTGCATATATGGTTTAAAAACATTTTTGATTTTGTATGCAATTTCAGGAGTATGTTGAAATTTTAAAAAATTGGTGTTGTGTAAATTTGAGAAGAATGTTTCTTGTATGTTGTTTTTATTGTCCCTGTTTTTGTATTTCCTAATTATTTAATTATTTATAATATTCGTAGAATATTATAAAAATGTCTGTTAAATACTTATTTCCAATTTTTGGGACATTAGTAAGCTTATAGTTAATATACCTAGAAAAATGTAAATTTGGCTCTTAGTAGAATTTCGCTTTGTGCTACCCGAATTCCCTGAAATGATCGCCAGTTAGTTTCGGTAACAACCAGAACTCAGATATCAAATTTCAAGAAATTCCATCAATTCGTTCCGTAGATATGGTGAAAAATGTAAAATCGGCCCGCAGATCAGTTGTCGAGCCCTGATCTTTCCAAAAAACTTACATGTCCATTGTTTTAATACGAGGAATTCAAATATTAAATTTCATTGAAATCGGTCAATTATTTCTCTTTATATACACAAAAATGTATATTTGGCCCGTAGTAAACGTCCAGTTGCTGATGCCTGATTTCTTCCAAAACATAGGAATTTTCGCGGGCGGTCGAGCTGAGCTTATTTATAAAATTTCAAGTAAATCGGTTCAATATTTTCTTCAAAATGTTCAAAAATGTAAAACAGGCCCGCTAAAAAGTGCAGTTCCCGAAGCCTGAGATAAACCAAAAGTTGATCAATCCGTGCCATGGTGGAAATAAACTTACATATAAAATTTCATCAAAATCAGTTCAGCCGAACTTGAGATACACGCGTGCACACACAGACCGACAGACCGACGGACCGACAGGTTGCTAAAAATAGTTCACTTACACTTCTCTACCATGGAGGAGTGCATTCCCACCGAAAACTCGATATGCAAAATTTGTTGCCATCACATAACCTAGCTATTGTTTACACAATACGGTCGGTAATAATAAATATAACACAATTAACACCGAATTTTCACACATATTAGCAAGGAGTTTTCATAAAAGTGTTGTGATAATATGTTTTTAGTTATTGTAAACACCCATATTACTCAACATTGGTACAAACAATTTCCAATGAAAACTTTTTGTTACCCCGCCTTCAATTTAGAAAAAGAACATTTTGATATTTAAAAATAAATCTCTAGTTTTTAATGAAATTTAACTTTTGAAAATTAATTTCGTTTTATTGTTTCAGTGATAAAATTAACATATTTATTAAAAACAAAATGACTAAAAAAAACACAGCTGCAGAATGAAGCAACAAAAAAATTATTATTGTAAGTATTAGCATGAACTTATATTGCTTTCTTTATTAGCGTAAAAAGTATATTATGTAGAAGTAACATAAGCAAATGCGCCTACAATATAAGAATATTGTTATAAGATTTATTAAATTATAATTCTCTCATAGAGAAAAAAACCTCTGCACATTATATTACCTGTTGTTATATGTTAAAATATAACATATCTCGAAGACATAAATCAAAAAATCAAAAAATAAATAAAACCATAGTTTCGTAAAGAAAATTATGGCCTTGTTCACCAAAAAGCCAAATTCAGCTGCATACAACCTGATTAAAATTGCCAACCTGTGATGTACTAAATAAGAGGAGAGCTAATGAAGAGCCCAAGACAATTACGCGCTACGATTTTGTGTATCCTATATACATATGAACACATTTTTACATGTTATATTCTAATTAGTTATGTTTTAGAATTCATACTTCGGAACTCTCGTGGTTTTTATAATATTTGAACTATTAGGTAGTATTTGTTAACGTGGAATTGTTTTGCTTTCTTCACCAGCACAAAGAATATATTTTGTAGAAGCAACAAAATATACTCTTTGGGCATATGTTCCTATAATGTAAGAATATTGATAATACAATAGTGAAATTTTAAATGCTCATAGAGAAAAGGTGCTCAATATTAATAACATTACCCGTGTTTTACTTTAGCATAATATAAAATATTTCTAAGACTAACCAAAAAATATTTAAAATCAGGGTTTGTTACAGAAAAAAATATTTAAAAAAGGGGTCAATTTAAAATTTAAAAAAAAAGCCTTTAAAAAGATAGGGCAGGTTCAGTGAATACAACCTGACTAAAATTATCAGCCTAAATCAAAATGCAAATCATCACAGAATTTTTGCAGTTCTACAAAGACGTACAAAATAAAAGAAAAGCCAATGAAGAGTACAATTTCGCGACAGGATTTTTTGTGTTTTATATATGTACGTATGCACCTATAAATTATTACATATTATATTCTTATTTACTATGATTTGGAATTCATTAATTTAGAATTTTCGTAGTTTTGATAATATTTGGATTTGAAAAAAATGCATTATTTATATCTGTTTTTTAAAATATATATGAACTAAATAAATACATACATATATAATAGTATTGAACTAAATAAGTATGAATAAATAAGTAGAAAATGATATAAATACATAAAGATATATATAATAATATATAGAAAATGGAAAACAACAAAATTACTATTACATTTAGAAGGAAACGAATAATGGAAATTGACAAGATTAAATAAATAAATGGAAATTCAAGAAGGGGCCATTGAAAACTTGGTATTCAAATATGTATGAAAAAATATAGTTGATCAAATCTATGGTTTGTTAGGTAACACATTTTCATTCACTACTTAAATCTGTGTATGTATATAATTACACCTACCAAATACCAAAAGATACTTCTAAAAGAAACACTTATTATCATAAAATTGCATAAATTAAAAAAATATTTTAAGCATGAAAATTAGCTCGTGAAAAAGTTACCAATAAATTTTTTGATTATTCAAAATAAGAAATAATAAAGTTGAATATATGGTTAATACTCAAAAAGTTCATACTAGCGTGAATACTAAATTGTATTGTAAAGTAATTTGTTATAATATTTTTGAATTTTTCTACATTTATGGAATTTTTAGCTAACATGAAACAGAAAAGCATAAAATAAAATTTTGGTGTTTTTGGAAGATAATAACTCCAAAGAAGGAGCCCAGAAATTTACAAAGAATATATTTTCTTAAGAACTTGCATATTTAATAGTTTTTCATTCTTTATTGTGTGTAATTTCATTTCTTTATTGTGAAACTATGTAAACGTTGTTTACAAAGGAACAAAAAAAAAAAATCTGATGTGGTCAGCACATAACAAACCGCATTGTGTGTTGTGTAGTTAAGTGAAAGTGTTGAGGAATATTATAAAAATGTCTAAAATACTTCTTTTTAATTTTTAGCGCATTAGTACGCTTATAGTTAACATACCTAGAAAAATGTAAATTTGGCTCTTAGTAGAGTTTCGTTTTGTGCTAACCGAATTCCCTGAAATGACATTTATTTTCGGTAACAACCAGAACTCAAATATTAAATTTCAATGAAATCGGTTGATTATTTCTCTTTATATACACAAAAATGTATATTTGGCCCGTAGTAAACATAAAGTTGCTAATGCCTGATTTCTTCCAAAAGTAAGAAATTTTTGCGGACGGTCGAGCAAAGCTTATATATGTAATTTCAAGTAAATCGGTTGAATATTTTCTTCAAAGTGGTCAAAAATGTAAAACAGGTCCGCTAAAAAGTGCAGCTCCCGAGGCTTGATATATCCCAAAAGTTGATCAATCCGGGCCATGGTTGAAATAAACTTGCATATAAAATTTCATTAAGATCGTTTCAGCCGAACTTGAGATACACGTGTGCACACACAGACCGACAGGCCGACAGACCGACAGGTTGCTAAAAATAGTTTATTTACACTTCCCTACTATGGAGCAGTGCGTTCCCACCGAAAACTCGATATGTAAAATTTGCTGCCATCATATAACCTACCTATTGTATACACAATACGGTCGGTAAAAGGAGCCAAAAAGGGCCACAAAAATTTTTAGTATATTTTTAATTGAACAATTAGTTTTTGATAGAAAATGAAGTTTCATTACATTCATAACTCGTAAATGAAATTTTTCCTGGAAAAGGCGTTTACATTCAAAATAAATAAAAAATTTCACATAAATTTTGATCACAAAAAATGTTAAATAACAGTGATAATGAAATAAAAGCAAAATAAAAACAGTTTAATATTATTTGTTTAGAAAAAAAAAACAATAGAAATCTTAAGACTAATTCCTATTCGACTTCATCACGTCGTTCTTTAAATTAATGGACATCATTTATTTGTTGAGAGACCATGAACAGCAAATTTTCCCTTCGCTTTTCCAAAAATGTTTTAAGCTTAACAAAGCCGAACAGGTTGACACAAACAAACGATTTCTAACTTTATCTTTTACAAGAATGTTACGTGGAAATATTTTTTCAACTGCGACTGTACAATGCTGCAACACTAACAAACCATTTTACTTAAGTTTGGAAACATTGCTTTATTTAGCCCATTTTTACACTCAAAGATCTTTTGCTAAAATTCCTGTGAGGTCAATTTTGGATATTGAATAAGTTCATCCTATCTAGGTAAAGATTGCCATTCGCTGTTTACATCCTCAATGTTGACAAAATCGGTATCAAAAACTGCTAAAAGTGGAAATATAAATAGATGATTGCTAGAAAAAGCTTTTTCCCGTTTTAAGTAAGACATACATTTTTCATATCTATTTTTTTAACGATACAATTAGAAATTGTAATATAAAAAACTTCAAGGTGCTATTAAAAAATTGTGGTGTTTAAGTCTTTCCGCAATAAATTTCTTTTAGAGGACGAAATCATAATGTTTGGTTTAAATCAATATTTGAAACTGTATGTACATTTTTTATCACTTCAGCCTTGGTAAAATTTGCAAGAAAAGTTTTTAGTAAATAATTAAATTTTAATGAAATTAAATATGCTTGCTGGTTTTTAAATTTCTTGCTGACATCATACATAATTTTTAGCACTTTTCCAAAAATTTTTTGAAAAAAAGTGCTTATTAGTTTCACTCTGTCCATCCGTTCGTCTGTCCGTGTGTCTGTTTACAAAACTTCTACATTTTTAAAGATAGAAAGCTGAAATTTAATACGTACATAGATCTTTACTAGAAACTTATTTTCGTAGAACAAAATTTTTACCTCCCCCCCTCTAGAAGTTATACCCCCCCAAAACCCTAAAAATGGCCTATTTTAACTATTTGTTGCCATGAAACCATAAGCATTTTTGAAATTTTGCAAACGCAGAAAGGCAGTGGCTCGCTTCCCCTACCGCGGTATACTATAGTTAAACTTTAGAAAAACAAAATGGCCGTTCAAATTTACCGTTATCTAAAGTCCTTCTTTTCCAAATTTTTGATGTCGCTTTTCTTCAAGACCCCAGCCTGTAGAAGCTTGAAATTTTAGGGGCTTTTAGACATTAAGAAGTAGTTCATTTCGTTAGAAGAAAATTTTTTTCCATCTCCACCCCCTCTCAAGTTATGGCCTCTTGAAATTTGTAAAATTTGCATTTTTGACACCTTATATTTCTGAAACCGCAAGTTTTTTCAAATTTCTATAAACGCAAAAAGTTAACGGTAAATTCCATGACATTAAAAAATATATTTATTTTTCTTAACTCACACAATTAACCCTTAAAATCGAGCATTATGTTAACCCCTGTTTATATTAAATTTTGCTTTATTTCAAAGACTGCATAAATGGTTCATCCTAAATATATGCAATCCTACAAATAGTTTCGTTTATAAATGAAAATAATCTTAATAGTGTGGTGGATATACATAGACTGTTTTTAAAAGCAGTATTTTCACTTGTTGAAGGGAAAAGTGCTACAATACAAACCATTGGTTTGACCCAACTTTATTAAAATATGTGCTAAAAAAAGGAAATACAGTTAAACTTCCTTGTCAAATAAAGATGTGAGTATGAGCTCATTTTTTGTGTTTGCAAAATTGTTTTCGGAAGTGGTATTAGGAAAATAATATATCAGTACTACTCGATTGATTGCTTGCCAAAAAACATAAAATAAATTATTAACATATATTAACATGTTAATTTAAGTAATAACATAAATATAATTTAACGAAGACTCAAATTTCATTACATATTACCTCCAGTGAAAACGATCTTGTTGCAACTAAGTTCAACATTTGATGTAATGGTGCTCCAAAATGTAATTCGTTCAGATCATTTTGCCTTGAGCTACTGTTTGAAAAATGGAAATTTATACATTTGATTAGATCTATAATGCCTTAATCTTTAATACATAAATTAAATATGTGACACATACAACCATAAACAAATAATTTAGGACATATTTCTTTTAAATGGTCTTGAACACCGC